TAATTAATTCAGAAAATCTTTTCAGGACCCCACCTTGATGTTTCGGGACCCCACTTTGGGTCCCGACCCCAACTTTGGGAAACACTGCTCTAGCTTGTATTTTTGTCAACACTCGATTAAAAACAGAATCATCTTGGGGGAAATGTTTTTATAGTAAATGGCGTGTTTTGTTTGCATGTATGCTTTGTGCATTATAATTCTTGCAAATTTTTGCTGAATATATAAAAATGTTTGCTATTTTTTTTAACCTCTGACCTGCTGATTCTGCCTCATTTTCAGAAGCGTAATTAACAGAGTCACCTCCCAAACTGATTGCATCTGTACATTAGGGAAAAAAAAACTTCAAAATATTAACCTTGTTTCATAAGTGTGTATATTATCTTACTTTTCATTTAAGTTTCTAAGCCTGCACCAAACTGGGAAGGAACAGCTGTCATCAATGGTGAGTTCAAGGAGCTGAAGTTGTCCGACTACAAAGGAAAATATCTCGTCTTTTTCTTCTATCCTTTGGACTTGTAAGTGCCACCTGCTATATAATCTGTTTTTATTGAGTTCTGTTGAACATTAGAGTATTTATGCAAGCCTTTTTTTTCCTCTCCCTTCAGCACATTCGTCTGTCCTACTGAGATYATTGCATTCAGCGATCGTGTGCATGAATTTCAGGCCATTAATACAGAAGTGGTTGCCTGCTCAGTGGACTCGCAGTTCACCCACCTGGCTTGGTACGTTTGTTCCTGTTACCCAGAGCCACCCATTTGCTCATAACTTTACCAAAGTTTAGGACATTGCTGAGATTATTGATTTTTTTTTTAAATTTTTTTTTTTAGAAATGATCCTTCAGTTTTTTTTATTTATTTATTTCCTTTGTTTAATTTTCCAGAAACTCAACTATGACTTTAACTCATTTGTCTAAAGCAGTGGTGAAATCAGTATAAAGTGTCTCACTGTGTTTTGTTTATTCCTGTTTTCAACAGGATCAACACCCCTAGGAAACAGGGTGGACTTGGACAAATGAAAATCCCTCTGCTGTCTGACCTCACTCACCAAATTTCTAAAGACTATGGAGTCTACTTGGAGGACCAAGGACACACACTTAGGTGACCAAATTTTAACAACGTAACATTTTTATGTTGTTAAAGTAAACAAAGATCCAGTCAGTGGGAAATATTGGATGAACTTTAACAGATGTTATGTGATGCTTTTAATGTAGACAAATGTACCTATAGGGACAGTTCATATCTTTGAAGTGTGGTTTTGTGGAGACTTTATGAACACTTAATATCTTACCTGTTGGAGATAACGTTTGAACAGACTAAGTTTRTAGAAATAATTTTATTCCAACCAGATTAACCAAACCAGTTTAAGCAGGGTCAAGAGTAAAGTGGCTAAAACCAAATTGTTTGCGTTAGCAACCCTGTAGAGTTTGACAGGAGGAGGAAGAATAACACTGCATTACCTCTCAATGTTCATCCCTTTCAGAGGTCTGTTTATCATCGATGGCAAAGGCATCCTGAGGCAGATCACCATGAATGATCTCCCTGTGGGACGATCTGTGGACGAGACTCTGCGGCTGGTCCAAGCTTTCCAATACACAGACAAACACGGAGAAGGTACAGACTATTTTTGTCCCCTTTTTCCCCACATTCAGCTTACTTTACATTTCGGAGCATCTTTTTCCCATGGATAAAAATGGTTACATTAGTGGAAGAGTAGATACCAGGTTGATCTACACTGAGTTGCTTAAAGTCCTTTATGACATGTTTTATTTTCTGCACAGTGTGTCCAGCAGGATGGAAACCAGGCAGTGACACAGTAAGTAGGACTGTTTTTATGACTGGCTTGACATAGAGCTATTATTATTAGTCTACTTAACACAGAATGGTGGATTTTTATTTGAAAACCATTCTGTCTCAGTCTAACTTCAATAAGATGTCACAAGCTGTTCAAGACCAATAATTATATAAAACTGCTTTGAGTCTAATTGACTTTAATTCCCCTCGGCCTAAGCTGGTAGYCAGTGATACTTGTTGTGTGACATAGTTGAAGAAAATGTTCATTAGAACTAATTTAATGAATTCTTCCTCCACAGATTATTCCAGACCCTTCAGGCAAGCTGAAGTATTTTGATAAACTGAACTGAATGACCTTTCTTCTTCTCCAGTTTGTGAAATCCGCCCAAATTTAAATAAAAAGTTTTCCAATATATGTATATTTTGTCTGGTTTCTGTTTAGTTTTTAGTTAGATGTAGCTTGCTGCTGTTGGACAATGCAGTGCTGTTGGTGTCTTTTAAATTAAACTTATCACAAGTTTTATTTAACATGGCTGAATAGTCCTTCATAAAACCACAGACGGATGTGAAAGGTGACTGTTAATGTATGCAAAAAGATGTGGTGAAAAATGGAGATATGTCTTTGACAGTAAAGACTTTTAATCATCTACCATAAAAGATAAGCAAATATGTGAATCTGTAAGTTCAAATGTTTCTTCAAAAACTGAACATATTTCAATAATCAGTGTACATCTATAACTGATACCTTTTTTGTAGTCAACTCCGTTGAAGATGGCCTCCGATRTGGATCAACCTTACCAAACTCATAAATTGTGTGACCTTTTTTCTACATATATTAAGGTAAAATAAGGTCTGAATTATTCCCAACAGAAACTCCAAGCACTGACATATCACAGATCTTTGTTCAAAACCTACACATCAGGTGTTGATCTTATTGTTTTAACTACATGGACAGCACTATGTTGCAGCTGTGGTTTTTAAAGTGCTTTATAAATAAAGTAGGCAGTAGCAGTAATAGGCAGTATTCATTTATTTAAGGAATCCTGTTTTGTTTGAACTGTTTTTCCCCCCTAAACCATCACTGAAAAACAATATGAAAGTCAGATGTCCTCCACCATAACATATTCATTCTTTGTTCCACTTTGTGTTTGATTTTGTACAGACTATGAAAAGCAGCCATGGCTACAACATCATGTAGTCATTTAGGTCAGCTTTCTTCAAACGTTAACCCAAATGTTGAAATGGTCAGAGAGCAGTCTGAGGGTGAATTGTAAAATGTAATAAAACTGGAACTGGTAACTGAAAGTGCTGTGTTGTGATGATGAAGATATTCAAGTGGAAATTTTCCAAGGCAAATCCATATAGGAGAGATTAGGGGGGAAAAAAAGACTTAAAGAATCAGCACTTTGCGAGGGAACTTTGACCTGTTTATGAGCAATAATTGTGTCGCATGACCTTTCACTCTGCTGTCTTTTTATTGTTATGACGGAAAGTGTTTTGTCATCCGTCTGCCTCGGGCAGCAAATGGTTTCTTTGAATCTTGCAAGTGATGTTTAAATCTACTGGCTTTATTAATAAGAACATGAACAGATGTATAAAGGCTGACAGTGKTTTGGTTTCAGCCATGAACTAAATCTGTGCATAACATGTTTTTTAGYTAAATGTCTTATCAACCACTGATAAGATTACAATAAAACCTTCAGGAAATGGCAATTGGATGTACAGCCATTCATTAACTTTTGAAGCGATCTGCATTAAAGACAGCTGCAACAGCTGATCTTAAAAACCCAAATATAGGTGTATAATTTAGTCAAATGTTAATTAGCTAAAATCTGGTGTGGTGTGSACAATTGTGTTRTAGTCAAGACCACCTAACCCAAGACCAAGACCAAAAAAAAAA